GTAATCGAATGGAAATGAATACAAGGAATTTATAAAGAAAATAAGATAAAAAGATTCTTAAGCTCTCCTGATCAGAAAACTAAACTATTGATAAGAAGATGACTATTATTAAAAAAAAAAAAACTTAGAAGATAAAAACCTAAAAGATATCCTAATAAATAGAGTTAGATATGAAATAAAGCAGTTGGATTTTGAGTCAAGTTAGAATCCAATGTAGTAATCTATAATGGTAAACTATAAGCAATAAATTGGTGATTGAAAGAGTTTTTATCTAAACTATTAATGAATTAATAAATTACTTTCAAAGTTATACTTCAAGTTTTAGAAAATATAAAATAGTAACAAGTGAATTGGATAAAAATTTGGCTTTGACAAAATATTTTATAATATATAATATACTGTACAAATGTTTAATAAAGCACATATATATACCTAGTCAGACAAAGGGTTTAAAAAAAATTTTTTTTTAAAATATGATAAATTATACAGTATATAAAATTTATCACAATTAATTCAAGTTATTTTTACAATATATAATTTTTTTAAAAAAATATAATTAATATATTTGAAGAGCCTTTTTCAACTCTGAGTTTAAAATAGATGCATTACTGGGCAAAAAAGATGATAAAGCAGTGTTAATCTATATGTAACAATGACATTCATATGTCTTAATTGATTAATAAAGTATGTTGTGTACAGTATATGCACCTCATCTTTTAAAAATATATATATATATATTAGAAGAGTCTTAAATAAATTTATTTACCAAGTATTTATGAATATACAGTAAATTTAAATTTAAAATTCAATTTTTATTTATTCATTTATTTATAAAGTTACAAGCAATTTTTGTATTCTAGTTTTCAACTTTTCGGATATCGCCTGTTAAATGGAAACATAGATGCTTTATTAACATATGATTGTTACTGTTTCATCCAATACAGTATAATTAAACATTGTGTTGATGGTTATTTTTTTTAAAAAACGTGTAAACCCGTCTTTGGCTAGGACCCCGGAAATCAAACTCGCGTCGGAGTACTATTAAAACTCATGGTGGATCATAGCCTATATAATAAATTTTTAACAAAGAGTTCAGAATCGAGACTCGACTCGACTCGACTTGTTTGGATCCCTATCTTTAACTATGAAAAAAAAAAAAAAATTTTTTTTTTGAATAGGATGAATAGGATGGTTAAAAATTAATAATTTTCTTATTATATCACATATGATTTTCGGATGGTAATAAACGCGTGATCAGATGGTGGTTTTCGGAGTGAAAATTCAATTTTTTTAATGAAAGTAAAAAAGAAAAAAATAATAATTAAAACACAGTATTGCTTCGATTTAGTCACGATTGGCAAAAGAGCATGATCCCAATATCTTTTTCAACATCTCTTTTGCTCTTTGAATTATTATTGGTGAAAGTATGTTCACCTTTTTTGATAAAAGAGTGTTGGATCGACCGAAAACAGGGATGATTGTATATCTGTTAATGAATGGTAATCTGGAGTTGGTTGAGGAAAAAGTTCTCACATTGACGCAGCCTTTTGATCACTCGACGATCCAGTCCAATTTTGGCCTAGTGGTAAAAAGGTTTCAGGCAACAAGGTGACCATTATTCATTGGTGCAATTCCGGAGTTCGATTGAAGAGTATCAAGGAGATTTGCCCTCCCGAGAATTACCCTTAGCATTCATTTGAGTCCTAAATTGTGAATTGCTCGAATCAATACGATCAATGCATCACGACATTAGTAGTCTGATCCCCTTCGGTCTATGATCCCCTTAAACCTTTATAGAAGTATCCATATAGCGGCTCATTCAGAAACGATGTATTCGGCGATCAATTTGAACTCTACTCCTTACATTACGATCACCGTCCCGGGAGTGGAATTCACGTAGGCTGAGGTATGTTGCCTTGCATGTGCTTTAGATTTCCGATTAAGTGTGTCGAGATTAAAATAAAACGCAAAATGGTCGTAATTCGCGCGTCACCCTTTGTCATCACGAATTTTAATGATTCACTTATCATCGTAACCATAATCTGATGCCACATGGTTTTAGGCGTGGGCCAAAAGGATCATTAGTGTCGAGGCAAACGATTTTCCACTTCTGCACTTTTTTGTTTCATATATTTGTTAATTTTATTTTATTTTATATTTTATTTTCAAGAATACAATTCACGGCCAAGTAAGAAAAGGGAAGAGGCGAAAAAAATCGCCATTAAAGTTTATAGGAACTAGAGGCGCCTGGTGAATGCTATAATAATTATTATATCTTTCATGGGAAAGTTTTTTAATATTTTTTTAAAAAAAAAAAGAGATACATACATACATACTAATATATAAATTATATTTGAGTTATTTACAGAGAATTAAATGGATGCGAAGATATTCGCACCTAAAGGAAGGCTAATTTTATGATATGATTCTAATTCGAGAAACCTGGCGATCAACGCATGACTACTTATAATTAAATGTTCTTACATTGAATTCACGAATTACGTAATAAATAATGTAATGTATACAATACATTAGAACTCGTGCAAGACATTGCCGGTCGGCATAGATTTGATTATAAATGAAAAAAAAAAAAAAAAAAAGAAAAAAAAAAAAAATGCTTTCGCGATGTGGTCCATCAAAGGTTCACATTGTCACTCCGCGCATTCGTTACTTTCCAAAACTGTAATATTGAAAGATCTTGCTCATCCGTTCTGGGCCACAATCAGTGACATCCAATTTTCTTGAGTGCACATGGTCCGGTCGGGGCTCGTGCGTCGACCTGAAATAGTACCGTCTTCTACCGTAGTTTTCGTCAATCTTCCAATCATTCGCAGTCGTCAGCTTTTTTAGCAATGATTCGCTCATCTCGATAGTGTGTAATTGGTGTTCCTTGCCTAGATTGGTGATGAACCCGTAAGTGTTGAAAGCGTTGAAGCAAGGGATGGAGGTGAGATCGATGTATCGCAAATGGGTCATCGTCATTAGGAAATCGCTCAGGTGAGATATCGAGGTGATCTGAGCTTTTGAAATTCCAAGGTTTCGAAGGGAAGTCGAACAATTTTGTTGAATCGCGAGCAAGACGCGCGGGGTCACTTGGGAAGAACCGATGTCGAGGGTTTGCAATCGTTTCGCACACGGGGAGTTGAGTATGGTGATAAGATCGTATTCACCGATGGCGGTGACGATGTCCCTCTCGCCATAGATATTAAGGGTTTCCAACTGATGGCATTGAGATACGAAATTTGATATCGCTTCAGAGGAAATGTTTTTGCACTTGGCCAGCAGTAGATGCTTCAATGTGTGCTTGACATTGGTCTCGGTGGTTAGGAATTTAAGGGTCATATCGCTAACCGAACAACCACCCAAATCCAGGTGAGTGAGATTTGGAGCGTGAGCGAGCATTGTGATAATTGCGGTGTGTTCCGAGATCACCGGGCATTCGTGTAAGGAGAGGCGTTGCAGCTGGGGTAAAACCGGTTGAGCTATCTTTTGGAAGGAGTACCTGACCTCTTCCCCGTCGTCGCCGTCCTCATCGAATTGCAGACTGATCTTTACGCGACCCATGAATTCAGCGAGCTCGGACATTGCGATACCAAATTGCTTTCCAGAACATCCACAGAAATCCAAAGCTTTAATTTTCCTGCAGTTGAACAAGAGGGTCTTCAACACCTCCACGGTGATGGCCGATTCCAAAGTCTCCGACACCGAGAAAGCCTCCAGTCCGGGAGTCGCCATCAAGATGTTGACAAGGATTTCGGGGGTAACAACATTTTGAGTGGTGGCTGAACTCTTCTGGAGACCGCAAGTGGAGAAACCGGAAAGATCCAAATGACGAATCCGGGAAGAGCGTTCGGTGACGCAATAAGTCGCATTGGCAAATCGGGTGAAGGTGAGAGGAGTAGTGAGGGAGACCGAACGATATAAGATGGGAATGGTGTGAAGGTTGAAAGTGCGATTAACCAAAGCACAGGAGGCAAGGGTCTTCTTGTCATCCATCAACATATTGAGAATGAAGCGAATGATTTCTGGGGGAATGTATGGTGAATTCTTTTTAACCGCAACAACTTGACGGTGAGTGTTGGGGAAAGTGAAGCAACTTTGTCGAGGAAAGAATAAAGACATTTTATTAATATTACGATTATTACAATTATTATTATTATTATTATTATATTATTATTATTATTAACCGAAGAGCGTTTTCTGAATACTTTTAAGGGATTTTTATTTTTTTAAAGGAAAAATCGAATTGTCTTCAAATCTCTGGACAAGGTCACCACTGGCCTTTATATCGAAAATTTTTCAATGGGTCAACATAATCACTTACATAAATATCATTGATACAAACGAGTTTACAATAACAGTAATAAATAATGACTCAGTGAATTTCTATTTTAGGAAAGTCATACAAACTCTATTGCTCCCACAGTAGGAACTATACATTTTTCGGGATTTGGGCTAATGAGGAAATGACGACCGGTTAAATTGAAAAGAAATTCTTTTTTTTTTTTTTCTTTTCGTCACGAACAAAAATTTCTCATGAAATACATATGGTAAAAAAAAAAATGTAATAATCACTTCCGCATTGGCTGACATAATATATTTTTTTTCTTCCAACGAGGTCTTCACTTCATGCAAGTGGGAATAATCAACGTTCATAGGTAATAAGCACACAAATCCGTTACCTGAGGATACGGTATTTCGTTGCCAAGAAAAAAAAAAAAAAAAAAAGGAAAATCGCATCAATCATATCAATCATATCATTCGTGTGTGTGAATGCAAAGGTGAATGTTTGACCGCAACACATTGTGGACACAATGAACATACCCCCCTCTCCATATGCATATGAGCGAAACTGCTTTCTAGAACCACGTGATTGCATGAAATTTTAAGCTACACATTCTTTGTCTTCACGAAAGCAGACATAATGAGTTCAGCTAATTCAGCTATTTATTCGGAACGATTTTATGTTCTGAATTCGGAGCTGCACTTTTTTTTCATTAAAGTTTTATTCCCAAGTAAAATTGCATGCATTCATGATTATTGTTAACTTCATATTATCCATTCCAATTGTCATTTACTTCCGAAATCACTGGATTGCATATTATTAGTTTTTAGCCTGGTGTGATCATACAATAAATATCCTAGTATGGTGGCGGTGTATCACATTGGACGAAGTGACCTGGGGTCAAAGATGGTCGCTTTAATGGCCGCATATCTGAGTGTGCGCATTTTCACACCGTGTAACCCTTCTTATTGTAATAACGCACGCAAATCGTAATTTCGCCACCTCCACATACTGGCCTTCCTTTTCCGGACTCCCTCTTTTTTCTTTTTCTTTTTTTTAATCGTCAATAAATTAGCCATCTTACCAAAACTCAGCTAATTATATTTCATCATTATTGCATGAAAGACTACGTGTACTTTTTCTCTCCCCGACACGCAGTATGTGCGATGACCATGACCACGCACACATTTTGCGCACGCCAATTTTCCATACCTGTTAAGTCATTCATTATCTTATCTGATTGATTGATTAATTTCTTTTTCCTTTAGATTACCGTAAAATGAAAGGAAAGGATCATGTTTAGTTTAATGTAGTAGAAAAAGAATCCTATTCTATATACAGTATTATACAGTATGTATGATCGACGTCAGCAAGTGCCTAACAGAAGATGGATTGTTTCATTCCGTTCCTACGAAGATCCCTTATGTAATGTTTACTTATAGTCACGTGAAATAATCGGACCGCATAAATTTATCAGTTAATTAATTAATGCGTGTATTCATGCATGATTCTCATTTGTACAGTATGAAAGGGATCATCAAGAAATTTTTTGATTTCAATATTCTACAAGTTCCCACCCTAATTTATTAAAACTCTAAATGAGGTGCGTACAGTACAATTATAAGTTTTAAATCTTTGTTTCGCCTTTTTTCCTTAATAATTCACAGCGAACTTGAGAATTCTCACGGTTGCAATTTCTTCGTGTAAGTATACACCTTACCATCGAAGTACCCACGTCCTCACGTATTCAAATTACAATTGCATGCATAGGATCCCTCGCGAAACACCGAGAACAAGAGTCTATGGAAGAGTGTAATTTTTACACAGCCCATTAAACAAATAATTAACTCAATACCGAGACCTCCCCGCGAAAAATATTACGAAATAAGGAAATATTTATACCGCACGGATGAGCTCTCTGCATTGAAACAAAAAAAAAAAAATTTTTTTTTTTTATTTTCCGCTTAAATAGATGGAAATGATAATTTGAAATTATCATTCATGCACAAAAATCAGCCCGTTATCGAATCAAGATCATCTGATTATTTTCTTGTTTCTCTCAATATTCGCCTGACAATTAGAGACCACTACATACAACAAAATATTGTCCGAGCGTGAAACGTAAATAACTTTTTTTTTGTTTACTATACAGTAATGAGATATTGTTTACACATAATGTATGCGCATTCAATATACATTCGAAAAAATTTTTTTTTCTAATTTGGCCTTTGTCCTTCCCACCCCAGCGTCCACTAATGATAGATAACCTTATTCTCACGCATACACACACTTTGTGTTTTATTATCTAAAATTTAAGTGCATTTTGGTGGGGGGCAAATGACATGGAAATGACACCTCCGTAATCTAAAGTTGTCTCGATCATCTTATCTCCCCTTGTTGAACAAACAAAACAAATAAACAAAAAATGTAATGAGTCAGACCTTTGCTGCGGAAAAAAATATGTTTGTGATAATGAGAAATGTTTGATATTGTTACCTTTGGAAAATAGGCACACTTAATTTATGCATGCGAAATTCGCACAAAAACATTTTCGCAAACTTATATTGGAAATTATAATAAAGCGTTAAAAACAATTCCGTAATTATGCTAAAAATAAATGTAAACATTTGAAAAAACAATTATGCCGCTACAAATATACAGTAAGTGAAATACGGTATATTTAAAATCCATAAATCAATAAACAATATAAATCCAATAACTCATTTTTTGCTAAAAATATGACATAAGGAAGAAAGACAAAACAAAAGAAACAAAAGGCTGTGTCCAAATTTTGTTGTTATTTGTTGTTATTTTATTTTTTTATTTAATTAATGTTGAGCTTATTGACTCACAATGGCTGGGTAAATAATAGGATAGGTCAAATTTTCGCAAATAATCATTTGCAAATAACAAATCGTAAATAAGCAAGCGTACAGATAATTATAATTGCGTAGTAATTATTGTATATTTGATTTTAAAAAAAGAAAATATTTCAAATGACTTTATCAATAAAAAAATATATATATACAGTGGTTTGAAAAAAATATATATACAGTGGTTTGAAAAAAAATTGAAAAATTTTTTAAATATGTTGAAGTTTATAAAGATTTATTTTAAACTCAATCAAACTTTAAATATAAAACTTAAATCCTTAAAAATTAATTTTACTTGAAATTATTTCATAATTCATATAATTATTATTTTTTATATTTTTATTATAATTTGAAAATTTTATATTATACCAATTATATTCTAAACTAAGGATTTATTATAAAATATTGTATAACATGTAACTTACAGTATGTAACAAAACTTTTTAGAATTTTTTAAAATGCATATTTTTGTTTATAAATTAATAAAAAATTATTCAAATTATTTAAA